GCCCCCCCCCCCCCCAGGCTTCTCCACCCTGAGGTCCTGCGGGCCCTTTGCAGTCCTGATGTCCGTCCCAATGCTGAACTAGGACCACACCCCATGTCGCCGGGGGCTGGCTTGTTTTGCTTGGCGAACGTGCTGGGTGTGGTGCTTCCTGGTCCTCTCTGCCCGCTGAGGACTGGCCGTGCCCTGCACGAGCCCATCTCCCCTCTGGCCCCTGGAAGGCAGCTGGTTTCTCACGTGGGGCTCTCTGGAGTAGCGGGGCCAGGAGCGTCGGGGTGCAGGGCTGTGTCTGGGCATAGTTCTCACTTCGCGGAATTGACCGCACAGTGTGGTTCCGGTGTTCGTTCCCGCCGGTGACACACGCAGGACCGCTGTCGTCGCTGAGTTTGTCCGGGCCGTTCTGATAGGTGTGTGTGGGAGCCTCGCTCTGGGCCCTCTGGGTCCGCCGCCCCTGCAGGCCCGTTACTCCCAGGCTGGGGTTCACTTCTTCCTCTGGGCCCGGGCCCGTCTGTGCCTGAGAAATGCATAGGTAGGAACGCGCTGGAATCTCGCTCCCGAGACTCCAAGAGACCGTGTGAACACGCGGGCAGGTGCAGGGATGAGGCCTGTGGGTGGGGACTGGACACCGGGGTCCTGACGTGCACCCTGCGCCCACAGACTACCCGTGGCGGTGGAGCCAGGCCATCCCCATGAACTCTGCGCTCATCAAGTGGCTGTACCTGCCCGACTTCTTCAGAACCCCCAACTCCACCAACCTCATCAGTGAGCGCCTGCGGCCGGGCCCCAGAGGGCGGGGAGGTTTTGCCGGGGGGACAGGCGGCGCTCAGGCGTAGGCCCGCCTCTGCCGGCGCGGGACACGGTGTCCGGGCCTCCGCGGCGGCCAGTCCCGTGGTTCCCCAGAGGGACCTGTCCCCACAGGGGCGCCCACTTCCCCAGGCCCGCCTCCGTGTGCACACGCAGCCACGCACACCTGCCTCTGCTCGCCGTGTGCGTGCAGGCGTGGGTGCGGGGGTGGAGGCAGGTGGGACACAGGTGGACGGAGGGACAGACGCGGGCGTGCCTCCTGACGCCTACGTGGTGTGTGGCTGGGTGCACATCGGCCACACTTCCTGACGTGCGTGAGGCACAGCTACACGCGGGCCCGTCCCCCGCTGCCCACGCTCGGCTGTGGCCCTCGGCCCGGTGCGGCCCCCGCAGGAGCACACTGGCGCTCCTCTGCGGCCTCGAGTACGGGACCGGTGCCGGGCGGGCCGCGCCCCGCACGGCTGGCGGCCCCCCGAGGCGCGGCGCAGCGGCCGACTCCCGTGTGCCCGCAGGTGACTTCCTTCTGCTGCTGTGCGCCTCCCAGCAGTGGCAGGTGTTCGCAGCCGAGCGCACGGAAGAGTGGCAGCACGTGGCCGGCACCAACACCGACCGCCTGGAGGTGCCGCAGGGCGAGCCCGACCCCGTGCCCAACTTCATTTACTGCAGGTGCGTCCCGGGCACGGCCGGCCCGCGGCCCGCTTGGGGCCGGGGCCGCACGGGCAGCGCGCCTGCAGGCCTGGC